TCCTCATGCGGTATCCTACTGCTACCTCTGCATCCCACTTAATAATTTGTCTGAATTGGGATGACAATCGCAATTGGGACTACCTGGATTGCCATTGCTAAGCAATGAAATCACATGACATCACACTTTGCAGCTACAGTTCTTAGAGACAGCAATTCCAGTTCCAATTTCCACCATAACTCAAGGACTATCTGTAATTTCTCAATATTTGTTAGCATGCCATACCATTTTGGTTACAGTCTTTCAGTTACTATTGTTTTACATTGTCAATATTGGTGAGAATTACAAGCCTTGAAACAGCCCTTCTTGATCTTCCAACAGTTGTTTTGAGCTCAGAGCATCATAGATGATGTTAGGTTGTGGGTGAGAGATACGTAGGAGATTCCAAATGGTTAATTCCTTTATTTCATCATTCAGAACAAGAACAGCAGCCACGGCAGCTCCTTTTACATAAGAACTGCTTGTGGCTACAACCAATGACAGCTCTTTAAATTTCCACCATGGCAGACCAACCAATCAGCGGTGGCTTATGTAAATATCTAACACCCCTCCCCACCTGGTCCGGTCCACCCAATCCTGTCTCACCTAGCGCACGTAATCATGTAGATAGGTGGGACTCTTATGGGTGCAACTGGACTTGTGCAGTTCAGTCATTGGCTGGTCTCTGAGTTGTTCGGTTAGACCTGTTGTTTCTCCTGCTCCCTCCAATGGGAACTCCTGGAACCTTCTAAGTGGGGCGGCCATTTTATTTCCACTAGATACTGCCCTTTCGCTTTTTCTCCAGGCCTGTCCCTGCCTTGTGTGTCTGGTAAGTGTCTGCTATTTCTGCTATTTCCGTTCAGTGCTTTCGGTGCTATTCTTAGCTGTTGAGATTGTGACTCGTTAGTCGTTAGGGCCTGTTCTATGTTATAGCCTGTTTGGACAGGGTCACCCCCTTCCTCTCTATTTATGTCCATGTTCCTCCTTGTTCTTCATGTTCTTAGTTGGTCTATGTGTCTTCTCCAGCTTCAGCCATCTGTTGTGTTGACCCTGTAAGATCGGGGCCCCGTTACTTGGGTCACCTTTGCCGGTACCCATAGAGGCTTCCCTGTTAGGTTTTTGGATCACCCATTTAGAACGTCTGGCATTTGCTGGATGAATCTAGGGGTCTGTCTGTATTGTATGTGGGGTGTAATCTGTCTAAGGGTGATCTCAACCTTTTTTCCATGAGTAGTTCAGCAGGGCTTTTATTTGTTGTCGCGCTGGGTGTTATGTGCTATATGCTTAATAATTTATCTATTTTCACTTGCATGTCCCCTGGCCCCAGTTTCTAGAGGGTCTCTTTCATGTATCAGACCATGCGTTCTGCTTGTCCATTCGTCGACAGATGTCCAGGTGCCGATAAGGCGTGCCGTATCCCATTCTGTGCTAGAAAACCTCAAACCGAGTGGCTGTGAACTGGGGCCCATTGTCAGATACAATTATGTCTGGCAGGCTGTGTGTGGCAAATAGTTTTCTTAGGTTTCTAATGACTGCCTCTGTTGTGGACTGCATGATGCTGACTTCCAGCCATTGTGTGTCCCTTTACTGGCCCCGCAAAATCTATATGTACCCTTGACCAAAGTCCCCTTGGTGTTTCCCACTCATGATTGGGTGCCGTGGGCGGTGCTGGCCTGTTTTCCTGGCAAATCCTGCATGCTGATACCCATGCCTCTATTTCCTTATCCATCCCTGGCCTCCATACATATTTCCTTGCCAGGGATTTCATTCTCACTATCCCTGGATGCCCCGCATGCAATATTTCCATTATATTGTCTCTTAAACTATCAGGAATTATTACCCTATCCGCCCACAGAATGCACCCTTTTAGTATTGATAGTTCCGTCTGTCTGTTCCAGAATAGTTTAGTTTCATTGGCTTTTTCCCTCTCAGGCCACCCTCTCCCTACCCAGTTCAAAACACGCACCAGAGTTCTGTCTTTAGCTGTTTCCCTCGCGATATCGATTGCTGTTACCGGTGTTCGTTCAAATGTCTCTATCAGGAGTGTGGTTGTCACTGGCACTGGATCCTCATCCTGGCTGGGTAGGAGGCATCGGCTCAGTGCATCTGCATGGTCAATGTCTCTTCCTGGCCTGTAAATTAAATTGTAATCATAGGCAGCCAGGAATTTTATCCAATGTGTCAATCTGGGGATAAGATATTCGGAGTGGCTCTGTCCCCCGCGATGATGCCCAAAAGTGGTTTGTAATCTGTGACTAGTGTAAATTTCTGTATATGTATTCATGGAATCACTTGATTCCGGTGACTGCGATTAATGCTATAAGTCAAGTTGAATATAATTCCATTCCGGTTTGGATAAGGTCTTTGAGTAGAAGGCAATTTGACCTTCTTTTCCATTTGGTAATATGTGGTTGATGATTGCGCTGACCCCAAGTGGTGATGCGTCACAAGTTAATATTAATGGTAAAGTCTCTTTGTACTGGATTAGTACACTGTTTGATGTAATTAGTCTCTTTATCTCTTGGAACGCTGCTTCTTCTTTCTGCCCCCAAACCCAGGCTGCTTTTTTGTCAAGCAGTCTGTGGAGTGGCTCCACCACAGTTGCCTTCTGTGGTAAGAATATATGGTAAAAGTTAATGAGACCAAGGAAAGCTTGCAATTCTGTTTTGTTTGTTGGCCTGGGGGCTTCTTTGATTGCTTTAATTTTACTGTCTGTGTGGTGGATTCCTTCACTGTCTATTAAATAGCCCAGGAATTCTACCTTGTTGGCTACTAGTTGGCATTTTTCCTTTTTTCCTTTAAGCCCCACCTCTTTGAAATGGCTTAAGACTTCCCTTAAACGTTCATGTAATTGTTCTTTGTCCTCAGCTGATATGAGGACATCATCGAAATAAGGCACCACCCCTTTTATTCTGTGCAATAATCATTCCATGAGGCTCTGGAATAGCCCCAGATTGTAGGCGGTTACATTGGAAAGCTCCGCAGTGTGTTGCAATTGTCTGCACTTCCGCCATCTCAGCATCTACCTGTAATTGCCAGTAGGCTTGTGCGAGATCAAGTTTTGCGGGAAAAAAATTCAGCCCCAGGGAGTGTAAAAGGTGCGGTACCACTGGGATCGGGTACACACTCTGTTGTAAGGTGCGGTTAAGTGTGGCCCGGTAGTCAGCAGAGATGCGCAGAGATCCATCTGGCTTTATAGGTGGACGATGGGGGTTTCCCATTTTGCATGGTCTATAGGTTCTAGGATTCCTTGGGTAATGAGCTTGTCTAGTTGCTTGTCTATTTTTGGTTTAAACGCAAATGGAACACACCTTGCTTTTAGTCTGATTGGGGCTATGTTTGGGTCTAGGTTAAATGAAATAGGGGATCCCAAGTACTTGCCCAATTTTCTGTTGAACATTTCCCGGAACTCTTCCATCAGATTGTCTTCCCATTCGCTTTCTGCGATGCTGTAGATTCTGGTGAAATCAATCCCCAATGGTCAGAACCACTTGAGCCCGAAAAGGCTTGGCTGGTCCCGGTCGACCACGGTTAATGGCAGGATTCTGGAATGGTGCCGGAAGGTCACTCTGAATTCACCTATGCCAATGATGGGAATCCTGTTCCCTTGATAGTTCTTTAGGATTATTCTTTGTTTGCTCAGCTGTTCCTTTTTTAGGTTGGGAATTAGACTTTTGATGGTGTCCCATGACACCATTGACAGAAGAGATCCAGAATCCATTTCCATCCTACATTGTTTGGCTTCTATTGTGACTTGCATGTGGACTTTTCTGGTGTTTGCCGTGCTGGAGTGGCCCACTATCACAGTCTGATGCATTTCATTCCTCGTTGTGGTCAACTTGGTGTTCTGTCGATTCTGGCTAAATTGGCTCCTGTGGTTCTCAGGCTGGTTTTCTTGGTTCCTGGGAGGTGTGCCTTGTCTTGGTCTTCTGCTGTTTGGCTTGAATGCTCGGCATGCCCTCACGATGTGTCCTCTCTGCTCACATCATTGGCAGACTGCATCTCTGAACCAGCATTCCTATCGGAGATTATTTCCCTCGCAGCCCTCACACCAAAATTCCTTCCGCTTCTTTTCTCAGCTTTTCTGGTGCCTTTCTGTGTGTAGTTGGTTCACTTCCTTGTCGCCAGTCGATCCCGACCCGAGGTCCTCGTGGTGAATAGTGGCGGCGTCCTTCTGGGAGGGCTGTGGAGTCTTATTCATCCTCTTCATGGCTGCAGCAGACTTCTGGGATGTTGCTGATGCTTCTTCAATAGTCTCCTTTAATGTTATTTTAGGCTTGGTTAGGAGACGGCTCTGTAGTGTCAGGTCCCTGAGTCCGAAGACTACGCGATCCCTCTTTGCCTCATCCACATTCAGGAATTTGCATGCCCCGGCAAGATTCCTCAGGCTCGCAATGAAATCGTTGATGCTCTCTCCGTCCTTCTGGTCTCTCCGGTAGAACTCATGTCTCTTGGTCAGACTGGATACCGGTGGTGTGTAATGGGCCCTCAGAATTTTCTCTAAATCTGGCCAGGCCATTGTTTTTACATCACTGGGGGCTGTGAAAGCTTTAGCCACTTTGAAGACAGCAGGGCACAATGCGTGAGGAAGGCGGCTCATTTCCTCTGTTCTGTAATATTCATCAGGTCACTACTTTCCAGGAACATCTGGAATTGATCGACGTAGAATTCCCAGTCCTCAATTGTCGGGACGAACGGTGCGGGTGGCATATTGTTCCCGGCCATGTTGAGTTCTTTGTCCTGTCAGTTAGCCACGTGTGTGCAGTCCCACTTCTCTCAGGATCCCACCTTCGTTGCCAGTGTTAGGTTGTGGGAGAGAGTTACGCAGGAGACTCTGAATGGTTAACTCCTTTATTTTATTGTTCAGAACAAAGAACAGTAGCCGTGGCAGCTCCTTTTACATGAGAAGTGTTCGTGGCTACAAACAATGACGGCTCTTTAAATTTCTGCCGCACAGACCAACCAATCAGCCATGGCTTATGTAAATATCTAACAGGTGACTGTCACATATTTTTCTTCAGATGGATGGATGGAACTCCAGTGACATATGAAGCCTGGGCCTCTGGTGAACCCAACTTTGCGAATGAAGATGAAAACTGTGTAGTTATGTATTATGATTCAGGCAAGTAAAATAAACTTCAGGTTTTCAACAGTTCTTTGTGTGTGCATGATCAGTATATAAATGAGTGGTCAGTAAGTGAGGACTACATCTATTCCAGGGATGTCAGACTTGCGTCGTCACAACAGTGTCACGTGATGTATCAGGACTTTTTCCCCCTTCACTAAACTGGACCTGGGCGTGGGCAGTGTGAGCTGCAAGTTTGACAGCCTTGGTCTATTCTTTCACATGTACTGTAGGATTCCATTATGTACTATTACACTTTGCACTATTGTTATTTTGGTTGCAACATATAGCTAACCCGTTGCTATTTATTTTATTTTAAGAATCATTTATTTATTTTAAGAATCATTTAATCTTCCCAGATGACAATATAATTTCTTTTATCAGGTGTATGGAATGATATAAACTGCGGTACTAAGAAAAGCTTCATCTGCGAAAGACATAATAGCTCTGTCCGTACAACTGCAAGGCCCACATTACCTGCAAATCCAAAAGGGTGCAGTGAAGGCTGGCTTTGGTTTGATGACAAGGTAATTGATATAGTTAGTGTATGACTAGTAGGACTTATCAAATTCGATATCAAATGTAAAGAGGAATGTGTTATTTATATACTAATGTTTTTGTATTTTTTAAATTTGTATGTTTTTAATTCTTGTAAATAAAGTTTACTTACATTTTTTTAAAAAAAACCAAAAAACCAAAAAAATCAAATTTTGTTTGG